TATGGATCCCTTTATATGTTGGCAATCCGACTCTTACCCAGCCTTTTTTCAGTTTCCTGGTTCAATCTCAAGCCATCATCCCGGTACAGAAAGACCGAAGATTGAGCTCTTTTTTTCTTTTCCTTTTTTTTTTACCAATGAAGCACTGCTCAATGTGTAAAAATCAATAGCTTGTTATATAAAACATAGAAATGGCAAAAGAAGTTGATTGATGCCTATCATATTTTTTACTGAAAGGATCAGAAATCAACTATTTTCTCTGTTGCAGTACCCAGCCAGCCTTTGGCAATAAGTTCCCCTAGCATCAACTTTAAAAACAAACCAAAATAAACTTGAGCTATAAATAAAGCTCCAGAAGGAAGAATAATTTGTATTCACCTATCGAATGATTCCTAACATTCCAGGACAAATCATGAATCTCTGTGCCTTTGCCTGAAAAAAAAAATGTCCCTCTTGCTTTGCCAACTATGGGACAAAAATAGAAGAATTAAAATCCCCAGAAATATATTATGCCCTCCCTTATTTTGCAATGTTCAGTGACAGTAACTAAAAATCTCATTAAGTTAACAAGAAGGATTTTGAGAACATGGAAAAATAATTTAATTCTACGCTTTATCCAATCCACCTTTTGCATGTCAGCAAAATAATCTGTCAGGGTTCAGAACTACATTTGAAAGTTTTAGCAGATACATAAAATTGACAGAAAGTTAGAAGTCATCTGCATACTGACCAGGTATTCACTACTTTCATGGGGCATATGAGAGCACATATTAAATGCAGCAAATGCCCTAAATCCATTTTATTTTTTAAAAGGGTGGGATAACACTGATTAAATAACATTAATAAATTAAAGATATATATTGTAGTTACTAAGCACAAAACTCCTTTTTTTTAATTTGTATATATATGTATATGTACATATCTGTATATATATATGTGTGTGTGTGTGTGTGTATGTGTATGTGTGTATATATGTGTGTGTATGTATGTATATATGTATGTATGTATGGGTGTATGTGTGTATTTATGTGTGTGTGTGTGTGTGTGTGTGTGTGTGTATGAATTTTACCCCAAAGTAAATAACATAAAAAACAGAGAAACAGGAGGAAGATGGAATTGCAAAAGAAATATATATGAAGGAAGAGTGAAGAGTAAGGAGGAAGACCAATAAAATTATGTTGGAATAGAGCTCATAAAATCCTCAAAAAGAGGAAGCTGAGAAGTTTAGATGAGAAAAACTATGTATGAATCAGTGTATGTTTTCCTCTCATACTGGTTATTTTTGTTTACATTTTTCTGGGGGGTATACAATATTGCCCAGCCAAAAAAAAGGACTAGTAAAATGGCTATACATGTAGTTCTTGACCTACATGTATAGCCATTCATTTAGTGACTGTTCAAAGTTACCTGACACTGAAAAAGGTAACTTATGATTGGTTTTCACACTTACAACAGTTGCTGCATCCCATAGTCATGTAATCAAAATTCAGGCACTACACATCTGACATGTATTTATGATAGCTGTCCTGTCCACGGTCATGCAATCATCATATGTAACCTTCCCATCTGGCTTCCAACAAGCAAAGCCAATGGGCAAAACCAAATTCACTTATTAGCCACATGATTCACTTAATCACTGCAGTGATTCACTTCACAACTATGGCAAAAATATCATAAAATGGGGCACACCTCACTTAAACACTTAACAATAAAAATTTTGTGCTCCATTGAAGTCATAATTGAAGACTACTTGTATATGTATTTTGCCTTATGATTAGAGTACATATATATTTGCAGATGCACAGAACATAGGCAAATTCATCTAAATATCACCTAAATATTTTCTTTTTCTAGTTATAATGAGCTATATATTTAGTAGATAAATTAGAATGTCACCAGATCTTACACTGCAAAAAAAAAAAGCCTATGTTTATACAATTGATAATAATATATGCTTTGCAGGCCACAAAGATAAGGAAGCATCCATTAATCCATTTAAAGAGCAAAAAAAAGTTTTGTCTCACTTGAGATTTAATTTGGGACAAGTATTTTAAGTACAGTTTAATATTTTCTTCCTATATCAAAAAATTCTAAGGAACTCTTAACATCCTGTAAATTTTATAAACATTCTAGTCACTTTCAGAGAGAAGAAACAAAGCATTAGAAGCATGCCAGATTTATAATACAATTAAAAGAACAGCCTGGTATAGGTCTGGTTGCAGAATTTATGACTTATGTATAATGAAACAATTATAGGGCTTACACTTTGACGTAATTTCTGTACTTTCACAAATTCAGTATAAAGAGAGATTCACTGAATTCATCATTCCAGACAACCTGATTTTCAGAGTGCCATATTCCATTTCCTTTAAGTTCCAATTCACATTAACTGTATCCACTTGCTTCTCAGTTTTCAGAGAACAGAAGATCAAAACATAGTCTTAAAGCAGATGGAATCGAAGTTGCTGTCTAAGGCAACAGCCTATCTAAACAACAGGGATAGGCGTTCATTTGAAAGCCAGTGACAAATTAAAGCAAAGAGGTAAATGACTCAGAATTAGGCATTAACCTTTATTGTTGGTAATTTTATGGCATTATACAATAGATTCTCACGAGATACTATCACACCATTTATTAGTTGAAAAACATAATATATTTTATCTCCTTCACCATTGCTTCACACAATAACTATAATTAAAATACAGATTCTTTATAAATTTTTATTTGTTTCAAATTCTTCTAATCCCTTCATCTATTACTTGCTTCAACACATAACAAGGATTTTTTTTTCCTCTATAGGTATGGCATTATTTTAAAAAATTCAGAATCAGACAAATTAAATAAATAAAACTATCATGGAGATTTGTTTATGATGATATAATTTTCAATAAGAACATATAAAACTGGAAAAAAAATCAGTAACAACATGTAAAAACAAAAGCCAATTCAGTTCTTCTTTCATCTAGAACAAGAATCATTTCTGGTTCAGAAAACTAACTTCCAGAAAATTTATAAATTATTTCTGGAATAGCTGAGTCAGAAAGGAGCCAATAAGGAATGGTGCATTCTAGAATCCTTCAGAACATTCCATAATGGAATTGTAAATTAAGTAGTTGCCTACTTTTATGTTGAAACAACTCACATTAATTAACCCAAGGAGTGCAATGTTTTAGGACAATTCTTCAATTTTCTAAAATAAATTAATATTCTCTATCACAAATTCATATGTTAAAGTTACTTTAACATTTTGAAGAACCTCTCCAAAACTTATTTTATTCATAGGCCATCTAAATTTAAATACATGGAAAAATATAATTCCTGTTGAAAAACAGCAGAGTTAGGGAGTTAAGTGCACTACCAATTTAGAGACACTGTGTACCCACAAGCGCTCAGCTTCAATCCTCCCTGAATTCAGTTGACCTTTATCTGGCGCCAGTTTAGTGTTAAACTTTAGTTCAGTAGTTCTCAACCTTTTTAATGCCGCGACCCCAACCAGTCGTAAGTCGAGGACTACTCAACCGGTCATAAGTCGAGGACTATTCAACTGGTGCAGCACCGTTTGCAGAATAGGACTTTTGGCGGGCTCAGCAGGACAGAGACAGCCTGGACAATTCCTATTGGCTTTTGAAAGCCAATAGAATTAGACTCTATTCAAGAGAGTCTATTCTATTGACTTTCAAAAGCCAATAGAATAAACGGGAGTAGCACAGCTAAGGAAAAGAGGGAAAAAATGGCGGACTGCATTGTTTGCCGACCCCTGTGAAATGGTCCTTCGACCCCAAATGGGGTCCCGACCCACAGGTTGAGAACCACTGCTTTAGTTGATCAGATTCTTGTGTATAGGCTTGAACAAACCTTCTATGCTGAAACCTAACTGATGGTCCTAATTCTTCATAAATCTCTTTTTAAAAGAGGATTTCTGTTGAGTATCTTCCACAGAAAAATTGGTCACAAGTTCTAATGTGGTTTTAATCAACTATATTCAATAATTTCTTTTTCAACTCATAAGATCTTATAAAACAAGGATATAAACAATGTATGAAGTATAGTGGATTTCTAAAACACTTTAAACTGGAATAATTTCATCAATACTTTAGAAATTCTTATATTAAATAGAACAGACTTTTTTCAAAATGTTTGAATGAACAGGAAATGACTTGGGATTTGAAATTTGATGAGTCAATACAAAATATTATTTAAATTTATTTTAGAAATCATCAACTATAAAAATAGCAAATCATGCTACATTTCCTTAAAAGTGCATTACAGCCTCTATTGAGAGAAGCCTTTTATTTCATATTCCTACCAAAAAGTGTCATTAACCCCTTTGTTACTCATTTTGGCTAGGAGTTTTTGAAGACATTGGTAAAACTACTAAAAGTGTTTAATAAATAATTCTAATGCAGCTATATTCTTCAGAAAATATAAAATAGTGCAATATAAAAATTATTCAGTTTCCTTCCTATAAATTTGCTGCAGCAAAAACTGGAAAAATTAAAGTACATCTTTCTTCACATTAGTGATAATTAAAAGTATGAAAAAGAAATGGCTAAAAAAACTAACACAGCAACAAATATTTTATATTTTTTTATTTGGTATCTTTTATAGATTAAATCAGCATAAAAATATATTACTCCATCTACACATACACTTTTTTGAACTAGAAGGGTTCAATATGGATGTTTAAAATTGAGTATTCTTACAATTAGAAATGTAATGAGGACCCAGATTGTTGGGGGCAATGTAAATATATATATATACATTGCTTACTGGTGTACACCGCTTAGAGAGTGCTTGCACTTAAAGCGGTATATAAGTCAAATAAATAAATATATCAAATTACATTAATTTGTTTTTTGTACTTTTTTCATGGTTTATGTGTTTGTGTTGTATAAATAATTCTTTTAGTCGCTATTATTCTTTTTAATTCATCTTTCTAATTTGTAATATTTTGCCCAATATATGTTTAAATAAAATTTGAAATAGAAAATGTAACTTACCTCATCAAAGCCATTATCATCTTTGTTCAAGGCTAGAAAAAAAGAGATAATTTGTTGTCTAATTAGCTTATATTATTTGTACAAAATGCTAAAATAAACCAAATATTTCTTTGTAGTTATTAAACTTAACTTGAATAAAATCACTTCACTTCACTGTATATAAGTTATAATTTACGCTATTTTTAAGAACAAATGTTATGAGAGAGGGAAAAAAAGGAAGAAGTGCTACATATTCTGCTTGAACTGCTGAATAAATGGAGAAGTACTAAGCAAATAATAACAGGCCACAGATATGCTTCATCTAATCAAAACTGAGGCAGTGCTGGAAAACAACATACAGTACAAACAACAAATTGTTCTCTGTAGCTTTTCTCAAGCAAGGAGAGTTACATGTGGACTTGAAATCTGACAGATTTGTGCTTTCCTGTATGATAGTATCTTCAAACACCACACCATTTTTTGCTTTTATACATATCCTGTACAGCTCAACACACCGCAATAATCAAGTTTCAAAGGACAGAAAATAAAACCAGAGCCTTGTTTATTAACAAAAAGATCATCAGTGAGAGCAAGTGCACTTTTGAAAGTACATTCTGAGTTCTCCTACCAGATGGCTGCCACAAAAGGCATTAATAAGAAGGAAAACTCACTCTTCTCTTTAACATCATAGCTTTTTAGCACTACAGTTTATCCTTGCCTTTACCTGAGTAAAGGGTCACCCATTCAAACAAAGCATTGAGCTGGAGACACCACCTTTCTGATTCATATGGAGCTGAGAATTACTATTTTTGAAAAAAAAAATGCTAGGGAATGGTGGTTGTTCTGTAAAAAATCAACTTTTCCATTTTCCATTTATTCATTTCTTTCAAACAAAAAATTATATATGGGTATGTCTGTAAAAGCACCATGAGCCACATAAACAAGTTTCCTACCTATTATTCCTCACATATGCTCAGAATCAGTTTCATCTGAAGAATGAAGAGGAATCTTCAAAGGAAAAACAGTACTTTTAATGAAGAGCTCAACAAAATTGTTGTAACTCAAGGGCTGCCTGTAATTTTGTCCTACTACCATAGGGGAATGTAAACACCTATAGAAAATTTTTGTGGTTTTGTGCTTGGAATTTAGCTTTGTGCCAAGAATATACTCCTCTTTATAAATCATTTTCAGAAATTTCCTAGTCCAAAATATTGACTGATATCACTTTTCCCCCTATCCTTATAACCCCTTGCTGCTTCGCATCACCAGCAGGCATCCAATGCTATGAGATTCAAGGCTCTAAAATATTGACTAACCTTAATTCTAAAGTTTTAAAATTACTAAAACCTAATTCAAGGCAGAGATTACTAAATGATTTTGAATTAAATCATTAAATATGCTGCTTTAGCTCTAAATAAAAGAAAAGCTTGGATAAAAAATTAAGATCTCACTAGCATGCTGTCACTCAATTAATATCATTAAAGTTTGCAAAACTATAATTTTAAATTATAAAATTCCATACTACTGTAATTCACCAACATTAATTTCCATATCTGAAATGCTATGTTGAAATGACCTTGGGATGCCAAGCAAAGAGATGCATGCCTAGGGAACAGTCAGATAAGAGGGAACACAGCCCACAGCTGCAGAGTTGGCAGAGCTAGAGGCTCGGGGAGGGACCCTCCCTAAATTATTGGGCTGTATAAGTGATATAAGAAGAAATATACTTTGAGACTTGTAAGATGCTCTTAATGTACGGTAACTTTACAATAAAGCAGAATTATCTTATCTGGCCATGTTTCCTGTCTAGTCTACCTGGTAAGGCTGACATTATCAGAGTCAGAATATATGAATGTCTGTCACTCCAATCAGAAACAGATACTAGCAATAGTAGTAGTATAGAAAAGTATGTTAATAATAAATGTGAAAACCTTTTCTGACTCACAAAAATCAAGGAGATAGATCTCACTTATAACATAAAAGACACAGAGCAACCACATATGTCAGATATTTAAAGATGAATTATATAATGATGTTACTTTAAGAAAAACATCTAAGTTTTTCATAAAGCTGAAATTCAAGTGACATTGAATGAAATTGTGTAGCAACGGGCTGACAACAGAAAAACAAGAAGTTCACAAAATTCGTAATTTGCTTGGGACTTTAATGCCTGATGCACAGAGGGCTTGTTAGATTTAAAAAGAACAAGTTACTTTACGATTTTTTTTTTTAAATAGAATTATCCACAATAGATTTTTCTCACCTAATAATGTATTACACATTCAATGAAAGTGACCGGACAGAAGAAAGTACTTCACATTATGCATAATTCATTTATAGAAATAATTGCAATATGATATTGTAGTACCCACTAGCTTCAATAACAAATTAACAGATTCAGGGAGGAAGTCTATCAATGACTATTAAGTATGAGTCAAAAAAAGACCACCCAGGGTTTAAGGCAGAATGCCAACAAACAGCAGCTGCTGGGTGGCAACAGCTTGAGAAGGCCACCATTAGTAGGTTTTTTAGGGCTAGCTGGCCAACTAGCCAGTGTGTGAAAGAAAATATAGCTCCACAAGGTTTGGCCAAGGAAGCTGAAGTTCTTATAATTAATGAATGAAATGCATTCCTACAACAATCTGCAATGTCTACAACAAAGTGCTTGAAGCAAAACATTTTGCTCAAGCATTAAAATAATTAAACACTATAAACGGGAGTAACAGGTCAGGACTAATGGGCCCTTTTTTATTTATTTGAATGGTTTGCTGATTTTTCAGCCCTTTAGCAAGAACACCATTATTGTGCTTAGTATCAATCAGAGATTTAGACCAGATAAAATGCTATTTAGAAATCCTCCCCAGGGCTGTTATTACTGACATCAGATATGCCTTTATTTTGTAATGGAACCACCTAACATCCACACTAAAGATTCAGTTCTACAACTGCGTCTGACAAATAGTTCTGTAGGAGAAGTAAGTCCCCAGGTGAAAAAGAATTCTTTGCACTTAAGGTATCCAGAATCACAAGCAATTTTGTATAACAGAATGAAGGTTCTGATATTCTTCCGTTTTAATTCAAGCAAAAATTGTTTTGTACTTCCTCAAGCAGCCCAAAAATTAAATTAGGAATAATTATGAGTAATGTAATTGGTAGTAACAGTATACAATAAGGGCATTCACTCATTTCCTTTTCAGTAGTTGATCTGAAACAGGCTTTCTCAATTGCTCCCAAAATGTTGGCCCACAGTGATACCAAAGGTCATGTTTACTGGAATTTTGAAAGATACAGATCCATTTTAGGAAGAGCTGACCTGAAAGTTCAAATTCACAGATTCCTTAGATCTTCATATCATCACAACTGAACATTTAGATAAGAGTTATTTATTTCAAGGAATCCTCATAGAACTAGCAGATAACTTTGAATTTAATTTATATTAATCAGAAAGAACTATACAGAGACTAGTTTAGCTCAATAGGAGCAATTAGAATTTTTCCAAATTTCAATATTCCTTTCTATAATCTACCTAATATTCACATCCCTTATTCTGACCAGGAGATAGCTTAACATGTACTTAAAAGACAGATTTGACACTGTATTTGCCAACCTGTAAAAAAAATGAAAAAATGTTGGCTGTCTTGAATTGCTTAAGGAAAAGCAGGATATAAATATATAATAAGCAACATTAAATCAATTTGCATCCTAATGAATTTGCTTTAAGTAGAAGGCTTATCCTACATTCCTATGTATTCTCTGATATCTTATTCAGATGAATAAAGAGAAATCTATGAATAATTTAGGAGATGGCTGTAGAACATCTTATGTAAATATGACACCTTATATACATTTTTATTGATGACACACCATCATGTAGTGTCATCCAAAAGGTGTTTCTATATTTACAAAGCAAAAAGTGCCAAAAGATGACAGGAACATTGGGCCAGCAGAGGTAAGAGAATTTCTGAGCAACTTCTAATGGCTAATTTGGCTAAAGAAAAATAAAATAATATAAATAAAAGGTACAAACACAGCAAGCTTTTTCTTATACTGTGAAGAACTTGCAAATACCTTTGGTGAAGTATCAAATCTTTAGCACTTTAGATTCCAAACAACTTAAATCACAAATTAATGGGCAAGTGAAGATTTCTATACTAGGATATTAGTGGGATTTCCGATTTTTGTCTTACCACTAAGCCGTCTGGAAGCATTTTCATTTTCCTACTAATATTATTGAATAAGGTATCTATCGCCTAAAGGCCAAGGAGATCCCTTTTGTTACAGAAATCATTATTATTGATGATGGTGCAGGAACTGGGTCTATACATATGTTGTATATAGTATGTTTAGGTGTGTGTCATGTATGTGTTTCACTTTGAGAACGGCAACTAATTTCATTTTTGATGTATGTCCACAGTAAAAAAAATGACAATAAAGGTTATCTTATCTTATGTAAATTCCAATTTTCAAATGCAGTTCACATACTACTCCTTTTAGATCATCTTTTCTGAAACACAATTGGTTTACATTTGTAACTTGTTCCATCTCACAACTGGGAGAACTAATTCTAGAAAGTATGTTCTGGCCCGAAGGGATACTGAGCAATTTCAAGTATGCAAGCAATTGGAACCTTTTTTCCTCTCACACATTCATAAATAATATTCCAGAAAAGAATCACTCTGATTCTGTTAAAACAATAGAACAGTTTTTTTCTAAATATAATTTACAACTATCACCTCTATTATTGATCTGGTATAACAATGTTATTATAATATCCTTCATTTATTTTTGATAATTTAATTTTTTATTTCCATTCCCTTTGATAAACTTAAACTTTTTTTTATTTCCATATCCTTTGTAGGGAATCCTTCAATCTTGCATTACAAAAGAATGAAACAAATTACAATTGGGTCATCTGAAACATGTGACAGCAAAGCCACTAAAACATGCATTAGAAAACAGCAGTTAGTCTATGTTCATACACTTTTTTTATATGCCTGCTTAAGAAAAATATATTTTCTTAACATTCATCCATAGAAAACAAAACATCTTTTTTTTTTCAAAAGCATAGTTTGAAGGTATTTGAATCCATTTTAAAAAATAATTTTCAATTAATTCAAAATACTTTCTATTCTTGTTTAGTTTTTTCAATTGTTCATAACAAATTAATATCCATCTAATTTCATATATTTTTTTAAGAAGAGAGTATGCTGCCATTCAATTACCCTATTTGGAGATGTTCCATGTTAACTACATCAGCAATTTAAGTAAAAGCAAACTACAGACAGTTTATATTCTGCTAAACACAATCAACACTCAATAGCAGCTAAGTTTTTTTAAGGGTAAGTCAAAATGACAAGAACACATTTCTAGCTAATGTTGTAATTCTCGGGACATAACAGCTGTTAATCGTTTCAATTTAATGAGCAAGACGATCTCTGCATAAAACGGTTTGAACTGGGTACATTTTTATAAAAAATCAATTTTCCAAAATATTATTACAATGCAGAAAAAGACGGCCAGAAAACAGGGTCAGCGAGCCACTGAGTGCTATGAGGAAAGTAACTTTAGCCAAGCCGGCAGCCTCCAGAGGGTGCTGGACTACAACTCCCATCACTCTCCCCATCATAGGTTGTAGCTTCCTTGGCAGCAAACAAAATTTCAAAGCAATTCAGCTTCCAAACTGACCCACTGAGCCGCGAGGCGATAGTTGGAACAGGGCTCGGGGCTTAGGAATGCCAGCTCGCTCGCCCTCCCTCTTTCGGCCCCCTTACCTAGTCTGCCGAAACTCTCCGACAAAGTTCGCCGTAACTTTTTCATTCTGCTCAGTTTCTCGGCCGGCTGCTGCGAGTCAAGCAATTCGCACATCGGGCTCGACGGGCCGAGCGCCCCAAGACAACGCGATGCCTGGCGGATCACCAGAGGGACGGTCGCCGCTGCCGCTGCAAGAAGAAAGGTTGCTGCCGTATAGCTCACTCTCCCTGGCCGAGCCCGAAAAGCCCCGCTTTTTCTAGCTGGCGCTGGAAGGGAACCGGGGAGCCACCGGGACTGCCTCGTCCTCGCCCATAGCGAGTTTCCCCCTGCTTTGAAAATTGGGCAATATGCTGCAGAAGACAATGAGGGGCGGAGGAAGAAAGGCAAGGCGGTGGGAGCGGAGCCTCTCTAGGGGAGAGAAGTGGGGGATGTCGGGGAAAGGGGATTAAAAGACCCGGGAATGGAGGGAGGAAAGAGAAAAAAAAGGAAGAAGAGGAGAGCAGAGGGCTGCCAGGAGGGACGACCGGACAGAAGGAGGCGAAGGAGGGACGGGGAAGCCCCGCTACAGAAGGCTGCAGCCGGGAAAGGGACGGGAAGGAAAGGTGCTTTGCCTGCCTGCCTGCCTGCCTTGGGAGCAGCAGGAGTCGCGCGTGCAGCCGCCAACCAAAGGGGAGCCCCAACGCTCCCCAGCCCCAAAGCTCCTCTGGGGCCCCGCCCGTCCCGCGCTCTCCCCTAAAGGCGGAGGCCGCCCATCCACCCACGCCCCGCCTCCCTCTCCCCTCTCCGCCGTCTCATTGGCCGCAGCGGCGGACGCCGGCTCGCCGGAGAGTTTCTCTCGCACGCGCTCTGGCGCGTTTCTTGTTTCCCCTCTTGGTGCCCTGTTCCTTTTCCGACGTTCTGTGGGAGGTGGGGCAGGGGGAACCTGAATTCAGCAGCTGTAGGAGAGGCAATTGTCCCGATCGACAGCATCGTAGAGGGATATAATTGGGCGGGTTTTGTTTTTGTTTTTTTTGTTGAGAACGGTGAACATCAGCTTTCCAAAGTCTCACTTTTAGATCTTTTTTTCTGAATCTGACCCGCAGTAGTTTTCCCGGTTTAATAAAGAGTGATTCCCAATATAAATTAAGTCCCGCTGCCTTCCTTTGGATTTGCTTTCTGACGAATATGAGTTAAAGACTCGGTTTATGCATTTAGAATATTTAGAATAAGGTCTCCCTGGAGTTGAGTTCAACCCAGAGGATTACAGGGACCTGTTGTTTCCCAGCAACGACACTTCGCGTAGGGAAGTAATCGACTCTTGCCTGCCTCAGCGATGCTTCCTGGACTTCTTTTCTTGACATCCTTTCATTCCCCAGCCCTGACGTTTCTTCCATCTACAATGGCAAAGCAGAAGACCATTCTTTTTAGGAGGAGTTTGGTGACATATTTTGATTTCTCCTTTTCATTCCTGCTTACTGAAGGGGCTGGGCAAAATTACCAGGTAGTCCCAAAGCTTCTGTTGTGAAAGTCTCACACTCTGGATTTCCATCCCAGGGTCATGTGCCAACCAATCAAGATCAGGTCCTAACCATATCAGGGCTATCAACTTTTGATAAAAACTGCAGGGTTGTTATTTGCGAGAAGCTTCTGTAACTGAATCTAACCTTGGATAGGTTAGGCAGGGATAGGCAACCTCAGCTCTTTTATGACTCTGGACTTCAACTCCCCTGCTGGCTCAGGAATTCTGGGAGTTGAAGTCCACGAGTCATAAAAGAGCCTACGTTGCCTACTCCTGGTACCTCTGCTATTTTTAAGGAGCTCCTGACATCTTACAAGAAATTTGGGTATTAACTTGCTTGGTATATATGCTTTTAATAACTCTATTTGCTTGAGTTAGTAATAAAGCTTAAAATCTATTGATCAGAGTGCTCATTGTCTCTGGACCCAAAAGAATCAATTACCTGAGCATCTGATGACTGCCTTGACACTTGGCAAAATACCATCCGAGTATTGACCAGCTGTGATTGTATCTAGCCAAGCTGGAACAGAGCCTTGGAAAATAGAGAGGTACACATGAATCTCCCCTTTATGGATTACTGCCTTGTCGTGGCGAAGGGGCTTGCGTAACTCAATGAAGCTATAAGCTATGCCATGCAGGGCCACCCAAGATGGACAGGTTATAGCAGAGAGTTCTGATAAAATGTGATCCACTGGAGAAGGAAATGGCAAACCACTCCAGTATCTTTGCCATGAAAACCCCATGGACAGTACTAAAAGGCAAAAAGATATTACGCTGGAAGATGAGCCCCTCAGGTCGGAAGGTGTCCAATATGCTACTGGGGAAGAGCAGAGGGCTAGTACTAGTAGCGCCAGAAAGAATGAAGCGACTGGGCCAAAGCCGAAAGGACGCTCAGCTGTGGATATATCTCATGGTGAAAGGAAAGTCCGATGCTGTAAAGATTTTTTCTCCATAGGAACCTGGAATGTAAGATCCATGAATCAAGGCAAGCTAGACGTAGTCAAAAAAGAGATGACAAGACTGATCATCAACATCTTAGGAATCAGCGAACTAAAATGGACAGGAATGGCTGAATTTAACTCAGATGACCATCAGGTATACTACTGTGGGCAAGAATCCCTCAGAAGAAATGGAGTAGCCTTCATAGTCAATAAAAGAATAGGAAAAGCAATACTGGGATACAATCCCCAAAATGACAGAATGATCTCACTTCGAATCCAAGGCAAACCATTCAATATCACAGTAGTCCAAATCTATGCCCCAACCACTGGTACTGAAGAGGATGAAATTGACCGGTTCTATGAAGCCCTACAGCACCTTATAGAATTAATACCAAAAAATGATGTCCTTATCATCATGGGGGATTGGAATGCTAAGGTAGGAAGCCAAAAGATAACCGGAATAACATGCAAGTTTGGCCTTGGAGTACAAAATGAAGCAGGGCACAGGCTGATAGAATTTTGTCAAGAGAATACGATGGTCATAACAAACACTCTTTTCCAACAACCCAAGAGACTGCTCTACACATGGGCATCACCAGACGGTCAACCTAGAAATCAGATTGACTATGTGCTCTGCAGCCAAAGATGGAGAAGCTCTATACAATCAGTAAAAACAAGACCAGGAGCTGACTGTGGCTCAGATCATGAGCTTCTCATTGCAAAATTTAGGCTGAAATTGAAAAAAGTAGGGAAAAGCACTAGGCCACTCAGGTATGAACTAAATCATATTCCTCATGAATATACAGTAGAGGTGACAAATAGATTTAAGGAACTGGATCTGATAGACAGAGTGCCTGAAGAACTATGGATGGAAGTTCGCAACATTGTACAAGAGGTAGCAACTAAAACCATCCCAAAGAAAAAGAAATGCAAGAAAGCAAAATGGCTGTCTGAGGAAGCTTTGCAAATAGCTGAGGAAAGAAGGGAAGCGAAAGGCAAAGGAGAAAGAGAAAGATACACCCACTTGAATGCAGAATTCCAGAGAGTAGCTAGAAGAGATAAGAATGCCTTCTTAAATGAACAGTGCAAAGAAATAGAAGAAAACAACAGAATATGGAGGACCAGAGATCTCTTCAAGAAAATTGGAGATATGAAGGGAACGTTTCATGCAAAGATGGGCATGTTAAAGGACCAAAATGGCAGGGACCTAACAGAGGCAGAAGAGATTAAGAAGAGATAGCAAAACTACACAGAAGAACTATACAAGAATGAGCTTAACGTCCCAGATAACCACAGTGAGATGGTCATTGACCTCGAACCAGACATCCTAGAATGTGAAGTGAAATGGGCCTTAGAAAATCTGAGCAACAACAAAGCTAGTGGAGGTGACAGTATTCCAGCTGAGCTATTCAAAATCCTAAAAGATGATGCAGTAAAAGTGCTACACTCAATTTGCCAGCAAATTTGGAAAATTCAACAGTGGCCACAGGATTGGAAAAGGTCAGTTTACATTCCAATTTCAAAGAAAGACAATGCCAAAGAATGTTCAAACTATCGCACCATTGCACTCATTTCACATGCTAGTAAAGTTATGCTTAAAATCCTACAAGCTAGACTCCAGCAGTATGTGGATCGAGAACTACCAGAAGTACAGGCAGGATTTCGAAGAGGCAGAGGAACTAGAGATCAAATTGCCAACATACGCTGGATCATGGAGAAAGCTAGGGAGTTCCAGAAAAAATCTACTTCTGCTTCATTGACTATGCAAAAGCCTTTGATTGTGTGGATCACAACAAATTGTGGCAAGTTCTTAAAGAGATGGGAGTACCAGACCATCTCATTTGTCTCTTGAGAAACTTATATGCGGGTCAAGAAGCAACAGTGAGAACTGGACACGGAACCACTGATGGGTTCAAAATTGGAAAAGGAGTCCGGCAAGGTTGTATACTGTCGCCCTGCCTATTTAACTTATATGCAGAGCACATCATGAGAAAGGCAGGGCTAGATGAATCAAAAGTTGGAATTAAGATTGCCGGGAGAAATATCAATAACCTAAGATATGCAGATGATACCACTCTAAGGGCAGAAAGTGAAGAGGAACTAAAGAGCCTCTTGATGCGGGTGAAGAAGGAGAGTGCAAAAGTTGGCTTGAAACTCAACATTAAGAAAACCAAAATCATGGCATCCGGCCCTCTCAATTCCTGGCAAATAGATGGGGAAGATATGGAGGTAGTGACAGATTTTATTTTTCTGGGCTCAAAGATCACCTCAGATGGGGACTGCAGCCAAGAAATTAAAAGACGCTTGCTCCTGGGGAGGAAAGCTATGGCAAATCTAGACAGCATACTAAAAAGCAGAGACATCACCCTGCCACCAAAAGTGCGTATAGTCCAGGCCATGGTTTTCCCAGTTGCAATGTATGGCTGTGACAGTTGGACCATAAGAAAGGCTGAGCGCAAAAGAATTGAGGCCTTTGAACTATGGTGCTGGAGAAGACTCCTGCGAGTCCCTTGGACTGCAAGGCGTTCAAACCGGTCAGTCCTAGAAGAGATCAACCCCGACTGCTCTTTAGCAGGCCAGATCCTGAAGTTGAAACTCAAGTACTTTGGCCACCTAATGAGAAGGAAGGATTCACTGGAGAAGAGCCTAATGCTGGGAAAGATTGATGGCAATAGAAGAAGGGGACGACAGAGAATGAGATGGCTGGATGGAGTCACTGAAGCAGTAGGTGTGAATTTAAATGGACTCCAGAAGATGGTAGAGGACAGGAAGACCTGGAGGAACGTTGTCCATGGGGTCGCGATGGGTCGGACACGACTTCGCAATTAACAACAACAACACACATGAATCTACTGCTTTAAATTCTCTTTCTTAAATAAAAATTTTGGGGTGCCTTCAAATCAGTCTTGACACCTAGTGATTGTCTGGTCCAGATCTTGCAGTTTTCTTGCTAAAATTTCACAAGTGGTGTGTTATTGCTTTCTTCCTAGGGCTGAGAGATAATGACTGGTTTTGTGTCTAAGGGAGTATTAGAACTCATAATCTTCAGTTTTAGCCTGATGTTTTAAGCACTACATTAAACTGGCTCTCTAAAATGGACACTAAACTGGCTCCCTAAAATGGATCTGCTATACATTTAAATAATGCTGGGTGCAACACAAAGATTGGATTCATCCCAATATGCTGAGCTAAAATTTGGTTTATTTTTGGTTTAATGTATTGTGTAAACCCAGCCAATTGTGGCTTACTCAATAAAATATTAAGATTGATTGTACTCCTTTGGTTGAATCAGTAGTCCCTTTTGTTGTGTTTTCCGTTTGTTGGCAATTGACGAAGACACATGGTGAAACAACAAGCTCTTTATTACTCTTCTCCTACAACCAAGCAAGCAGCAAAAGGCATGCAGGCCTTTTATAGGA